GTGCATCCCTTCCAGCTGGCAGTGTGATGGATGGCCCACCTGCGAGGACGAGAGTGATGAAGTTGACTGTCCAGGTAAGGAAATCTGAGCAGAATGCTCATCCCAGTGCCAGCTTGTTTTGCAGCAGTACTTTGACTCTTTCAGATCGCTTGCTTATTTTTATTTGAAATTCTAAACTTTTACCTCTACAGTGTGACTAAATCACATTCAAAAACTGTTTTAAGTAGTTCTTCAGTGAACTACTTAATTTTCTTGCAGAGAATCACTGATGAACTTTGTGGCATTGTCATCACAGCATTCAGTCTGTCATCATTCTGAGTTTAAGCTGTTTTAAAGAGGTGCTACAAAATAGTAACATTTGTGTTTTACAGCAACAAACTTCTCTAAATATTCATATTTTCTAGAGGGATTAGAAAAGTAAATCTAACTCTCAGAGAATGTGTTGGAAAATATATTGGAGATGTTGTCTCGTGTCCTTGAACACACAACCGAGGAATGAAGCAGCTGGGGAGTGGGCAGTTCTTTTAGCAGGAACAGAAAAAATGCACCAGGGATGATGCATTTGCTGCAGCAGTTGAAATGATGATCATCAAGTGCTGTGCCATCTTTGTTTCCCTGAGTGTGTCATGTACCACATATGTCTTGAATTCAAACTCAGAGAAAGTTTAATAAAATGAAATCTGCCTTTGCTTGCATCTTTCTCCAGTACTGTCTGTTCCTTCTGGTCCCCAGACTTGACAGAGGACCAGCGAACTTACCATGGGAAGGAGAATGTGGACTCGAGGCACAACCGAGGCAGAGGAGGAGAGACAACCCGCTTTCACACTGTCAACGTGGCACAGCCTGTCCGATTTAGCAGTAAGTTACAGACTGGGAAATTGGGCCATCCTTCTGCCAATTAATTTAGGAATTTAGGCTATTTTTTAAATGCAGCCCTCTCACCTGCAGCACTGCTTGTGCCACTGTTGGCATCCCAGTCCCAGCCTTACCTAAAGCATTACGAATGTCCTGCAAGTGTCCTTCCCGTCTCTCCAGGCCCAAAACATCTGAGTCTCCCCAGCCTTTTGCCTCTTAGCTTGGTTCCCTCTTTGCTCCAGGGATCATGCAATGATTTGGGAACGAGACACTGCACTGATTAGCCTTGGAGACTGGGATGGGACAGGTTAGGAAGAGGACATGGGGGGAAGACATGGGAACATCTGGAACATGGGACTGATTGTTTGAACTCAGGTGATCTTCTGAAAAAGACAAATGATTGGTATTTTGATTTATCATGGATGCTGGTAGCTAAATTATGTTATTAAAATGTACAGAGGACAATAAAGCAATTTAGAAATCCATATGGCAATTTCTGATATGCTCTGCAGTCTGATTGGTGCTGTATTCTACCCCTCCTTAGTGATGTAAACAGTAGATCTTAAAAGATCCTCTATAAATGGCGAACGAGGAAAGGTATTTAATTAATGGGCTTTAAACCTAAGTTTGTATATCATTATTTGATGGTGAAGATCACTGTTTCTGAAGGGAATAAAGAGGCTTGAGAACAGAACTGTGAATTGCATGGAATGAACATAAACCAGTTTCTGAATATGAAGTTTCTTTCTTATGTGTGCAAAATTAATACTTCAGGTGCAGGTGCTAAAATCATATTTTTAAATTTCATCCACCTGTCTCCATGGTTCTCTCTATTAGTCACCCATCACCTCCATGAATGTCAGTCCAAAGCCCATGGGCCTGTTTCATCCAGAAGTGCCTCCAGGCTTTTGTTTCAGGTTCCCTCAGCTGAGTTAATTGAGAGAAAGCCGAGACAGCAGCTCACATCATCACCTTCTTACTTCCTAAAGATCTACTTTCCAGTGATGTTTTTCCAAAGCAACCAAGAATTTCCCCAGAACCCCCATCACGTTCAGTGATTGACTCTGGGAGCAGGATTATGTGAATACTGCTGAGACTGTTTGTAAGAGTAGGTTGAAAACTTCACAGCAAGTTGGATGTATTGCTAACCACCTGACAGACACACAGTCATTAAATTGGCCACCTCTGTTTTTTATTTCCTGCTTCTTGCTGCTTCTTTTCACTTGGATTGATCGAGCTGATTGGTTTTATAATGATGTGTAGGGGAATATCTTCCACAGTAGATTGTCAGTCTTAATTAAAAACTTGAAAGGCCTTCACAGTGTGATGAAACTTTATTAGGAGTTGCATCTTGTAAAAATCATCTAAAAAAAAAATCAACATTTATCAGAAGCTGTATTAAAGTAAACCTTCAGTGATCTATAATGTATGCACCTCCTCCTGCAGAGGTGAAGCGTAGACAGTATATTGTGTGTACACATCCAAGTGGTTATTCATTGCATTGTGATAAACTGATTAGGATGCATTATCTTAAAGATCCTTATTTGGGGGGAATGGTTTCCCTTCTATTCTTCGTGTTTCCTAGGAAAGTGCCCAACAGGATGGCACCACTATGAGGGCACAGCCAGCTGTTACAGGGTGTATTTAAATGGGGAGAACTACTGGGACGCTGTGCAGACATGTCAGCGGGTGAACGGATCCCTCGCCACCTTCACTGCAGACCAGGAGCTGAGGTTCATCCTGGCTCAGGAGTGGGACTTGGAAGAGAAAACATTTGTAAGGAACGACCTGCCCCGGTGAGTAGGAAGGAACGGAAGAAGATCTTGTTTTACACGAGAATGGTTTCTGGTGATACAAATAGCGGTTGTTCAGTTTGTGTCGCAGATCTAACGGTAAAATTGACATCAGGTGAATAAACCACTATGAATGTGCTGCTTGGCTGTTTGGCAGTGGCCATCTGTGTTTTATGTTTTAATTAACATTAACAGATAATTAAATTCAGCAGAGTCTTTTTATCAGCAGAGTCTTTTTATCTTCAGGTTGTCTCAGCGATGTACAGTTATTCTTGAACTGCAGCAGGAAGGTGGATTTCACGATGACTTACTGCTGCACTACCTTGTCTAGAAATAATTATTTTAATTTTTCATCAGGATTTGACTTCCAACCTGTAGCTCTAAAAAAACTTGCAACTTTGAGATAGGAATGAAGTAAAAAGCCATTTTGAGTTGCAACAACTATGTTCTGGTGGCTTTAGATATTTCATTCTGTTAGTTCACAACAAACATTTCTTTTTTTTCCTGTTTGTGGGTTTTTTCTCAGACTCATGGGCTGCTGTGGCAGATCACCAGGAGTGGTTCAGTCATGATGTATCTCTGTCTCTGGAGTGTTAGATGGCTTGGTCCAGAACAGTCTGACATAAGTTGCATATATTTAGAAATACTTGACTTCTGGATGCCGTTGTATGATTTTTGAGTTTTTGATACTGAAGTGCTGCCATAACAACAGAATGAGGTGCTTATTGTGAGTAGAAATAAAAGACACAGTCAGTTATAATTCGTAAACATAGAAAACTATCAAGTATATTATCGAGTATTTTCCTTTGTTCCTCAAGTGTAGTCTCTCTACATTGCCAACATATGGGCTGATATGATAAGGAAAAAAGCCATCAGAATGTTATGAAAATTAACTTGTATATATAAAGACATTGTAAGGTTCTGTGGGATTTCATTTGTTAGTATGTTTTTGCCCTGTCTCCTTAGAATGTAACTTAATGTTTTGGTAGGTTCTGGGTCGGATATCAGTATGTGATCACCAATCGAAATCACTCCGTGGAAGGTCACTGGGAAGTAGCTTATAAAGGTAGGCCTCCCAAATTCCTGCTTAGTTCAGTGGCCCATGGAAACTGTCTTAAAGCCTGAATATAATTTGCAAGAACAACATAGCTTCTTTTAGTGCTAGTGTTGAATAGTGCAGGGGAACTGCTTGGCTTTACAATGTGGCAACGAAAGAGTTTAATACTCCATACATGTCTTATTTTAAAGTTGAGGAAGTTTCATGGTTTTTCACATTGATGTCTTGTGCAAAGAACATGTGGTTTCAGTTTATCTAGGTTTCCCACTTAATTAAGATGAGAAAAAGGAAACTACTGTAGTGTTCTTTGTGAGTATTTAGGGGAATTCCTGATTCTAGTATTTGCATAAACCAGTGTAGCATGTTAGGAGGTTTTAGCTCTTTAAAAATTGGAAGAATTTAAAAAACCCCACTAGATTTTTCAGAATTACTTTAATTTTTATCTTTTAAAGTACTTCAGGTAGTTTACTTAAACCAAATCAAAATTTGCATAATTCCAAAAATGTATCCCAGTTTACACGAAAAACTGAACGTTAATCTGTTGGGCTTTGCTGGCTGAACTCTTTCAATTGCAAAACGAGCAGCTCCCTCTGCTGACAATGCAATGTTTCTACACCTTTTATTTTTAACTAATTCAGTTGAGGGATTAGTTAATCTTAAAGTCATTATATGAACTCTTATGTGTACAGTTGCATGTCTAATTGCTGTACTGGTTTAGGTAATGGAAAATTTAGAACAAAAGTGAGGTTTCTTTTAAGCACCAGCACTGTGAAGTCCAGTGTAGCATTTGAAAACCAAGCTGAATAGGTTTTTTTCTTATACACAATTGTTGGTATCATGGAAAATGTGGAAGGGAAGCTGTCCCTTAGGTACAGGTAATAATTATGAACAGAATTTTGCTAAACAGTTGGGTCTTGAAAAATACTTCCTTTGACATGAATACAAACATTCTCCTTAAAAGGACCTTTCTTTGCTCTTTGGAAAGCTGACTGCACTGCCATCTGCTGACAGTGTTAACAACCGGGGGGCATAAATTACATAAAAATCCTGATAACTTTATTGTAAATTTTATTTAATTTAATGCATTATATAAATTTAAGCTTTCTCAGTACGATATATTCAGTTGTTGTATTTAAGGAGATGCCTCAATGAAATAAAGTACACAGTAGTACATAGTAACATCCAGTAGTTTCTGAAAACCTTTTCTTAGGCTTCATTCATTGACTTATATTGAAGCAGACTCTGAATTCCTGATGCCTGTTTGAAAAGTGATTTAGGGTTCTATAGCTTGAAAATTTGGATTTATTATTGGGACATATGAAACATGTGTCCTCAAAAAAGTAATCAACACCCCTTGCACTGTTTGGAACCCACCACAATACTGTTTGCTAACATGCGTTGGAAGGAGCAAACCGTGGATCCCCCAAGTGCAGCTGCAGCAGCAGTGCTGGAGCCTTGTTCTCAGCACTTGGAATGAGCAACAGGAATGTGGGGAGCACAGGTGGATGCACGGGCATCTTTGGAGGTGCCAGTGGGTGCTTGGAGTGCCAGGCACAAGATTGGTGTGTGGGTTCTTGCTCCACTTGTAACAAGTGTGGCCAAACTCAGCTGGTTTGAAGATACGTAGCTGTTGTCAGACAAACCCCGTGGGACTGTGGAAAGCAGCACTTGTGAAGATAGCAGAATATCACTTCTCCTGGTTCAGAGGGACAGAATTACCCAGTCCTTTGAAAACAGCAGCCTCTTTTCTGTGTGAGTCACCCCTTC